TCAATTCAATTCAATTTGAAAAAATCAAATCAAATTCAAATTGCTTAAATATTTGATTCGATTTGATTTTGAGGAACTCTAAAAACTGTAAATTAATTAGTAAAAATTAATGTTGAAAATTAATTAAAATTAATTAAAATTGCAGGCAAATTTGCTTGCAATTTTTTACCATTAAAGGGATAAAGCTATATTTGACATTGAATTTTCTTTTTTTTAGATAATAAATGATTTTATTCAATTGGAAATAGCAAAAAAGATAATTATAAGTAACATCAAGCTTTATTTTCTTTATTAATTAACAATATATTATATCAAAATATTGAAGTATGAAAAGTAACAAAGCATCAATCTCAACAAATAATATCCTAATATGTTATTATATTTGATGATAGATCCCACTTATATACTTGTTTTTGGCTTATTAAACATAATATTATTTGTAGATACTTTTTAAAGTTATATTTAAAGATGAGAACTGTAATTAATATGTTACAGCTTTTAATGTTGCAACTTATGTTACAATTAGTTTTAACCTATATATGTTGCAATAATTTGTAAATTTAAAATCAATTGCTGTATCATCTTTAGTCATATTTTATTTTTCAAATGCATATTTTCATATTACACTTATTTTAAATCAATGGTATAATAATAAAAAAACAAATGTTGATCAATAAACTCATTTTCAATTCCAATATATCAAGTTGTTGAAAATAATTTGAATTAGTTTTCTTCTCAACAATTATTATTTAATCAACTTAAAAACGTTAAAAATATTGCTAATATTGAGCTAATAAGTCTTAAAAAGGTATGATTTTGATATTAGATATACTAAAAAGCACTTAATTATATAATTTGAGCAGATAAAGTTGATGATTTTGTTAATTACTTATTGAAAATACAAAGATTAAATTAGACAAACAAGAAATCTTTAATGTTAAAAATCTGACTATTAGAGATTTAATACGTATGCAATATAAAAGTCAGCAACTTAAATGAATATAAATTAGAAGATAAAGTATAACTAAAGAAAAAAATATGACAGATACAGAATATTACTAATATAGCTAATATAGTTAATAATTAAATTTAAATAATAAAGACGAAATGGATAATGTTAACGTGTAATTCTTGCGAACTACAACTGTTAGACGGGGTGTCAGAGTGTTATTTCTTTTTAATGTACGTAGTA